GTATGTTTTAACAATATTAATTCTAAACCATGAATATGGAACTTGTTTCAGTTTATCTATTTCAATTTTTTTCATCTGTTTTGTATTGTGCAGATTTTTCACTCTTGTTAACTTCTAATTATTTTATGATGTAAATGAGATTCTGTTTTTCTTTTGAATAGTTGTTGTTAGCAAGTAGAAGTGCCATTGACTTTTATATGGTGATTTTTTACTGAAGCCCTCCTGAATTTGTTTATTAGTTCTAACAGCTTTTTTGAGTTTAGAGTTTTCTATATACAAAATCAGGTGATCAGCCAACAGAGACGATTTTACTTCTTCCATTCTTATATGAATGTGCTTTATTTCTTTTTTTCTTGCCTAATTTTGTGGATGAAGTTTCTAGTACTTGACCGAATAGTAAGAGTGGGCATTTGTTTTATTTCTTATCTTAGAAAAAGAGCTTTCAATGAGTGGCTGATGGTTTGTTTTATAGGTAGATAGATAGATAGAAAAATAGATATGTAGATAAATAGATAGATAGATAGATCTATATATGAGTTCAGATTCTATATATATATATATATATATATATATATATATATATGAGTTCAATTCTTCTATGCCTTCTCGCAAGATTTTTTCATGAAAGAATACTGAATTTTCTCAATTTTTTTTTCTGAATCCTTATGTGGCATTGGAATCCGGATATTGCTGAACTCCTATAGTTAGTTTGGAAAATTTTCCCTCCTTTTGAACTTTTTGTAAGAGTTTGAGAAAGACTGGTATTAGTTCTCTTTTAAATGTTTTTGTTTTGTTTTGTTTTTGGGTTTTCATTGTTGTTGTTGCTTTTGTCAGTTATGGGGCTTGAACTCTGGGCCTGAGTGCTGTCACTGAGCTCTTCAGTTCAAGGCAAGTGCTCTACCACTTTAGCCACAGCACCATTTATGGTTTTCTGGTGGTTAATAGGAGATAAGAGTCTCACAACTTTCCTCCTACCTGGCTTTTTGAACCATGATCCTAAGATCCTAGCCTCCTGAATAGCTAGGAGTATAGGCGTGAGCTACCAGCGCCTGGCTTTAAATGTATTTTTACAGTTACCTGTGATGAGAAACTTTGTATTACATAATCAGTCTCTCATTGCCATTTCTATTTCTGCCTAATTCTGTATTGATATAATGCATGTTTCTAGGGATGCATCCCTTTCTTCTAGATTATCTTCTTGGTTGGTGCACCTGTGATCATACTGGTGTCATGAGCCTTTGCATTTCTATAGCATGTATTATATCTTCTTTTTTATTTCTGGTTTTATTTGAATCTTTTTAGTATATCTAAAGGCTTGTTCTTCTTATCTTTTCAAAATAACCCATTTTTTAGTTTTACTGATTTTTTATTGTTTTTATAATCTCTATTTCATTTATTTCTGTTAGTTACTTCCTTCTCTGTACAAAGTTTAGACTTTGTTTTTATTTTCTAGTTCCTTAACGTATGCCAGATTGTTTGAGATCTTCATTTTTTTTCTTTAGGTAGGCGTTTATTTTGTAGCCAGAATTCTCAAAACTGCTATTTATTGTATCCTACAAGTTTTACTGTTTTACCATGTCTCATTTATTTAAATACATTTCACTTTGACCCCATTGATTGTTTAGGGTCATATTGTTTAATTGCCATCTGTTTGTCATTAATTACTGGTTTCATGATGTGATTTCAGTCTTCTCAAATTTATTAATTTGTTTTATAGTGTAACATATGATCAAACCTTTGTCAGTTAGAGTAAGTCTTGTCTACTTTTTATCATTTGTTTGTTTGTGCCAATCTTGGGGCTTGAACTCAGGGCCTGGGAGCTGTCCCTTAGCTTTTTTGTTCAAAGTTAGTATTGTAAAACTTGAGCCACATCTCCACTTCCTGTGTTTTGCTGGTTAATTGAAGATAAAGTTTTTCTTGAGATTTTGTTGTTTTTTTTTGTTGTGTTTTTTATTGCCAAGGTGATGTACAGAGCTATATAAGTAAGGTAATGAGTACATTTCTTGTCAACCTTGTTACCCTTTCCCTCATTTTTCTCCTACTTTCCCTCTCCTCCAAACCCCAAGTTGTACAGGTCATTTCCAACATACTGTCTTGTATATATTGCTGATGTATTGGTTCCTCTCTTGTCCTTTGTCTCACCATGAGGATAAAGTTTTATGAGCTATCTTACTCCAGCTGGCTTTGAACCGCGATTCTCAGATCTCAACCTCTGTAGTAGGTAGGATTACGGGTGTGGGCCACCTATGCCCTGCTGGACATACATTTTCCCACCATTTCCTTAAGTAGATTTCTTGCAAGAATATATAATTTTATTTATTGATAAAATATGGGTCCAAGCCAGGCACTGTAGCTCATGCCTGTAATACTAGATGCTCACAAGGTTGTGATCCAGAGCATAACCATCATAAAGCCAACCCAAGCAGAAAAGTCCCAAGAGGCTCTACTTCTAACTTAACCAACATAAAACAGGTCTGAAAGTGTAGTTCAAGTGGTAAAACACCAGCTGAGCAAGGGTGAGGCCCAGAGTTGAAATCCCAGTACCAGCAGAAAATAAAAAGAGCTCCAGTAAACTTTTTCTATAAAGGGCAGATAGCAAGTATTGTAGGTTGTAGGCCAAGACAAAACTGAGATTATTCTGTAGGTACTTAAATTACAAGAAAGAAAACAGATTTCTGTAAATCTTTATTGATTAAATTAAAAATATGGTAACATTGAATACAACATTGTACTCAATTTGTAATCCAGGTCTACAAATGTGAAGAACAGAGTTCTTTTGGAAGTTAAATGTTGATGTTCTCTGTCATCCAAATCTGTTTCAAATGTTCATTTGTTAACGCTGATCTACAATGAGATTTTCCATATTTCACCTTTGCAAATGTCTTTCCACATACATAGGTACTGCCAAATACTGGTATCAATCCGTGAACACATGATTTAATTGAGCATTTTCACAGATTGGAAGGCATTTTTAGAATTCTATTAGCTAAAAGGCTAGAATGCCTTTTAGCATGTCATTACATTGCAAATCACTTCCAATTAAAGTTCCTCAATTGCACAGCTAAGTGGATTTTGGAATATGGAAATTTTTTATACATGCATAGAGGTCTGAAAACACTGCTGTTATTTGAAATTAGAATATATCGCTACAAATTTGTGTAGGAATGAAGATATCACTTAAAAAAAACTTTTGACAGTGCAGGCCTGACATTACTTGCAATTCAACAATGTTAGTTCTCATTGAAATGACTTTATCACAGAATGTTTCACATATAAGCACTGTTTTGCCTTGTAATTTTAGCTTGAAACATTTTCAAGTCTGCAGCAAAATCTAAATCCAGAGCCAAAGTTCAATAACAGTGGTTGAGAACAGTTTTTCTAACCATTCAAAAAATGTAAAAGCCATTCTTAAAAACTATACAAACACAAGCTAGAGTTGGTCCATTGGTCATAGTTTGCTGACTTCCTGTTCTATAGTCTTGTTGGGTTTTGTTTTGGTTTCTCTTCCTCTTTCTCTCTCTTCCCCCCTCCTCTTCTTCCTCCCTACCCCCCTCTCTTTCTGGTGATTCTCCTGCCTCAGCATCTCAGGTTAAGGTACAAGTATGTATTAGTAGGCCTGGTCCTGTAAAGTATTAACTGATGATGTTCTGAGTAAATATAAGTGACTTTTCTCAAAATTTGCAAACAAATATTATTAACTTCTAAAAACAATTCGAATGTTAATTACCCTGATTTCATTTAAAACTGTATGCCTCTATACATGTATTGAATTTCAGCACAGTATTCCATAGATTTGTACAGTTAAAAAGATCAGAAATAATGTTTTCAATTTATGTGATTGAATAATAATATTAAATATCTTTTCATCATTATAAGCCATTTACATTTTACTTCTTAATTGTAAATTGGCTGTTCATATTATTTTTTTTCATTTTTATGAAAATTTCACTCCAACAATCAAGTAATAGTCTCATACCTAAGAGTACCAAGTTCTTTTGGGTGGTTCTACCCACTTACTCTTTACTGTTTTCCTTCACACGTCCAATACCTCTTTCATTTTGAGAGACCTACCACTGCCTGACAGAGTGTGCTTTCTCAAACACTCAGAAAATGTTTTCTCAAGCTTCTCTGAATGTATGTACCTGATGTCATTCATTCTGTTACATTTTCTTCTTTTTCCCTCCCAGTGTAACTATACATCCTGTAAGGCTCAAATTAAGGACCAGCTCCGTTCTTTAGTTCCAATCTGTGCCCATGTCTGCCATAAAAAAGAGACAGGGATTTGTTGGTGGTGGTGGTGGTGGTAATAGTGGTAATTAACTGTCTGTTTATAGTGGTCTGTCTTTTTCCTGAGCTCATAGTTTCTTTTATTATTATTATTGTGATATACAGAGGGATTACAATTACATGAGTCAAGTAGCGAGTACATTTCCTTTCCTTTCTTACAATGTCTTCTATTCCCTCACCCTTTCCCAGTCCCTCCCTCCCTCCCATCTCCACCCACCAGGTCTACAGTTCACTTTTCGTCAGTGTCCAGTGGGGCTCATAGTTTCTTGATTCTAAGACTGTAATTGATTTTGTTTCAGATCGGTGTTCAATACTTGCCGGCACCAATTACAGTATTCGCAAGTATACTCCAGGCGTACATTCTGCGTAATTAATATCACTGAGTAGTGTTTAGCATAATATAAAATTTGAAGACTCACCCTCAGCTGCTTGTGCCCATAGAATCAGCTATTTGAGAGGCTGAGGGAAACTTTGTATTTTTCCCTTCTAGCATAAAATAGCTAATTCACATAATTATATTTAGTCACAGCTGTGGTCTGTAAGAAAAATGTTTGTACTGGAAAAAAATATTGAGAACCTTAAAGTCCAAAAAAATTTCATTTGTCAAGTCTGTTTTGTAATCTGAACAGTTAAATTTCTTCTTTCAGAATCTCCTTTGTAACTTGACCAAGAATCATTTTGAATTAATCTTTTATTTTTCTTTATTTCCAAAGGATATCCATTACCTCGCCCTAGATAAGGGTGAATTGGCACTAGCTGAAGTGGCAAGAAAAAGAGCTAGTGACATTGATGCGGAATCAATAACCTCTGGAGTCGGTAAGAATTAATGCTGGTTTTTTTTAAAATGCTTTTGTTTTAATCAATACTTAGCATCATTCCTATATATGTTTGTAGAGCATGGTTGGCTAATTTGGATTACTTTCTTTGTAAAGTCTTTCTTTTTTTAAAGAAAGATTAAGCCTGTGACAACTGATAACCATTGATTGCTTCAGTCACTGTTTAGCAAAAAGACAATGCTATTTCTATATTTTGGGAAAAGAGTTCATTTTTATCATTTGTTCTGTATACAACGTATAGCAATTTTATTCACAGACATGTCATATACCTTAACAGAATTTATCTCTTGCATCAAAGGATTTCATGGGATTTCAGGTTTAAGGAGTGATTTGGGTTTGCTCAGAAGCTGCTAGAGGTCACTTTACAAAGTAGTAGTCTGAAGTAAACAGAGAGGCCTAGACTGAAACCAAAGACCCTTTTAAACACTATAGAATAGAAAAGTAAAAGGTTTTAAACTACATTGTACTATCAACATGAACTTTTTTTTCTAAACTCAGTTTATCTGATGTACTAAATCTGTCAGTATGGATAATTTTATATCATAATTCCTATTCCTTGGGCTATTTAGGCCTAGATTCCTCTTAAATTACCTCAATTTAAATCACTGTTCTGGCAAACCTTTCCCAAAAGAGAAAATGATTAAATTTTAGCTATCAAGGTGGCTGTTTGGAGCTGGACATTGGTTGTTCCTACCTACTCAAGGAGGCTAAAAGGATCTCTGTGCAAAACCAACAAGAACAGACAAATCTGAAAAATTCTTATCTCCAATTACCCAGCATAAATCCAGGAGTGGAAGTGTAGTTCAAATGACAGAGTGCCAGTCTTGAGTAGAAAAAGCCAGGTGAGAGTATGAGGCCTGAGTTCAAGCCCCAGCACCATTTTGCACATGTGTGTGCACATGTGCATGCATGCGCACGCGCGCACACACACACACACACACAAAGACAAAGTAAAAGTAAAAGGCCGGATTATGTAAGATATTCAGAGTACTTAAGTAGTTTGGTCTACATGAAAGAATTTGTAAACGTATTACATATAGTTTATTACATATAGTATATTACATATAGTTGCTATCAACACAGTTAAAAGCAAGAGTTGTCAAAGGAAAAGCTCTATCATGATATACTGAGTGACTAGATCATTTAAAATTTTTAGTGAAGTGTGACATACATACAGAATAGTGATTTATCATAAGTAGGGCTCAGTGAGTCAGGGAGCACTTCTTTGTTTACCAGTACCCAGAACAAGTAACATACATGATTAAGACCCATAGAAGTCCTCCTGTATCTTTGTTCAGATAATAAACCACATGCCCAACTTTTTACTTTTTATACAATTGGTTAGCTTAGCCTTTTTAAATCTTAAAATACAAGATAGAATTACACATACATTATTTTATTTTTTTTTTGGGGGGGGGTCTGGTCATGGGGCCTGAACTCTGGGCCTGGGCGCTGTCCCTTAGCTCTTCAGCTCAAGGCTAGCGCTCTACCACTTGAGCCACAGCGCCACTTCCGGCTTTTTTCTTTTTGCTTATGTGGTGCTGAGGAATCCAACCCAGGGCCTCAGGCATGCAAGGCAAGCACTCTACCACTGAGCCACCTTCCTAGCCCTTGCTTAGCTTTTTGATTATTTCATTTCTTCTAGCAGCCTTGTCTTATGTTTGGTAGAATGTTCAGGTATACTCAATAAATTATACTAAGTGCATAACATTTATTTAAGTGCACATTTAAGCACATAACATGCTTAAACATTTTACAGTTTAGTAGGGGAAAGACTTGTAATCAGTTTTGACATGGCATGATATAGCCACATAGTCACTACCTATAAAAGTTAAGTTCAGTAAGTATTTGATAGCAGCAATGAAGTACTTAAAATATTCCTTTTTTCTTTTGCTTGCTTTTCAGTACTATATGCAAATTTTCTTGTATATTAGAAGACTAGACAGACTTAAGTTTAAAGAAATAAATAGATGAGATTGTGGGTATAAAATCATTTTTGAAAAAGATAAAATGCTACAAAACAGCATCCAGTATTACTATTATAATGTAGTCATAGTGTGAATTTGTCAGGGTAAATTCTGTTGGCCTAAACTGGACTGCTTAATATGTGTGTGTGTGTGTGCGTGTGTGTGTGTGTGCGCGCGCGCGTATGTGTGCGTGTGTGTGCGTGCGCCCGCCCATGTTTCCCCATACAGGTGGTTGAACTGAGGTTCTAGAGCTTTTGCTTAAGGCCTTCAAGTTCTTACTTAGCTTTTTCCATTCAAGGCTAACATTGAGCCTCATCTTTACTTCCTCATATTGCTGGTTAATTGGAGATAAGAGTCTCTTATATTTGTCTTTTTCTGTCCTGGATCTGAAGCAGGATCTTCAAATCTCAAACCTCTGACTAGCTGGGATTTACAAATGTGAGCCACTGGTGTCCAACTGATGGCTAGATTTTTTAAGCAACTTGATTATTTCAGGCATTTTTATTCTCTGATCATATAATCTCACATATTATATTGGGTTAAATACCAAAGGGAAAATTCTAAAGATTGATAAAATACTACGGCTGGGTATTACAAATTTAGCTATGATAATAAAATTCTGAATATGAACACTGGCACCAGAGTTATTACTACCAGTTGCAAGACCACTAGAAAGTAACTTACATTCTACATGCCTCAGCACCCTCATTTTAAAAAGTGATGGTATGTTTAGTACCTATGTTACAAATTATTGTGGGATTAAGTTAATTCTTTCATATTTTGAACAGAGCCTTGCAAAGATTAAGGCATAGTATTGGTTAACTATTAGTAGTCCTTTAAAACTCAAAATATAGTATGTATTTGTAGTAACACACATTTTAATAGAAGACAGAACATCCACAAAGTACAAAATTTATTATTTATTCTTTATGATACCTTAATTTTAGCCCTTCCTATTTAAATTTTAGCATTCTTTATTAAATTTTGAATTTAAAAATTCATTTATCAGGAAAGAAGTAGGAATGAGTATCCAATGAACTATATCTTTACAGAAGTATGTATTTTTGTAACTGTCTAATTTTATTGTAAGCCTGAGAGGTCTGGCACAATACAAACTGTGAAGTAAAATCTGCCCTCTTGCACTTTTAACCTTGGCTTTATCATTGGTGTATCAGTGGGAACTGTAATGTCAGCGAGATAGTAGGTGTGGAACAGTCCAGGCAGAAATAAAACAAGAGACCTCAAAATACAACTTACCAAAGAAATATTACTCGTGTGTGTGTGTGTGTGTGTGTGCGTGTGTGCATGTGTGTATTTGCACGCGCGCTGGTCCTGGGACTTGAACTCAGGGTGTGGGTGCTATCCCTGAGCCTTTTTGCTGAAGCCACAGCTCCTATCCTGGCTTTTCTTGGTAGTTAATAGGAGATAAGAGTCTCATCATAGCCACCATCACCCAGCTGTTACTCCCTTCTTAATCCTGAGATGCATTCAAGAATGGTAAAGCATAGAAGTAGTATCAGATTACCAGGATCCTTCTATATGTTGCTTTCTTACGTAGGGTACAGCCTCCATCTACATCATTAAAGATGAGCGTCTTAGCCTACAGGAAAGAGGAAAAAGGAAGAGGGAAGGCTCCTTTTTGTCCAGGTACAACCTAGTTGTTAGCCATCACTTCTGCTTATATACCATTGGGCAGAACCTAGTCATAGGACTATACTACATTAACTATGAGAAAGTTGGAGGCGAGTATATGTTCAGTGGGCTGAACAAGTGTTGTTACTATAAAATCAAAAACCATTTGGGAGGATAGCTAGCAGTTCAAAGAAAAGAAACATTAAAAAAAACTTCTATATAATCCACATATGCAGAGAAATGAAAATATAAAAGACATCCCAGCTGCATTTAATGTAACTGTCTATACATTTGCATATTATGAGATTCTTCCAAATGCATTATATTTCCAAATTCATTTATTATATATGATCTTTCAGATATTCTGCTATAAAAAATCTGTAGCATTGTAAGTTGCCATCTCCTTTTAAAATGTATTTTTAAATTCTACTTCAAAAGCCTATTCATGCTTAATGGAAAATTTGAAACACTACAATTTAAAAGCTGTAGTATAAAAATAAAAATTTATTTTCAACCAGAGATTACCAATAAATTAGTTTATTTACTTCCTTCTTTTGCTATGCATATACTTAATAAAATTGGATTCCTTATTTGTCTTGAGTTGTTATTCAATGATATGCCATCAGCAAAGTCCCGTGCCATTTAAAAATTTATTCAAGCCAGGCTCTACCTCAAAACCCTAGCTATTCAGGGTGCTGAGACTTAAGAATTGAGATTTGAAGCTAGCCCTACAGAATAGGCTGTGAGACTCTTTATCTGCAATTAACCAGCAACAAAATTGGAAGTGAAGTGTGACTCAAGTGGTAGAGCAATGGCCTTGAGCAAAAAAAGCTAAGTAAGAGCAGAAGACCTGATTTCAACAACAACAACAAAATCATTCAAAAACTTGAGTTTTAGTAAGTTTTCTTACTAAAAGTGTCTTTTAGCTTTTACTAAACCATAGTCCTTAGTGGAACTGTGGCTCAAGTGGCAGAGCGCTAGCCTTGAGCAAAAGGAGCCTGGGGACAGTGCCCAGGCCCAGAGTTCAAGCCCCAGGACCTGCAAAACATTTTAAGAAAAGGAAAGAAAAAGAAAAAAAAAGTCAGTAACTAAGCCCTAGTGCTCTTGTAAAGGTGCATAGAAATGATATCTAATAGATGATACATGGATAAAGATAGACATTCGCTCTTAAAGTATATTCTAAAATTAAACTCCAAAAAAGTTTTTAATTCTAACAATTCAAACTGTGGTTGTTTAATTTCTGTGCTATGCTTGACAGTGTATGATCTATTGCATGTTTGTCCTAGGAGGGACATTCATGTCAACTTGGCTCTCCTTCACCTATCTTTTTTTTGTTTTTTTTTTTTGGCGGGGTCTGGTCGTGGGGCCTGAACTCTGGGCC